GGTTGTAAATTGAAAAATTCCTTGCCTCCTGGCATCAGCCCGGCCTCGAGCATTGAGCCCTCCATCTGGCACCTCTGGCGGATTGGACCCGTCGATCGACTCGACCTGGGACCCGCAGAGACGAGTCGATCGATGCGAACGCAAAGCAACGCCTTGGTGGATGATACGTCCCGGAGCCCCGCTCATCTTAAAAATATTCAGACTTCACACGTCTTTCTCTGCCAAGCGAAGGTGCCTACCGAAGCAGGGCCTCCAAATGGCAGCGCCAAAGCCATCAAGTTAGGGGATTGCGAAGATTAGAGATTTTCTAAATGAGAATTTCTGCTCAGCATGTTTGCTCAAAGGTAGCTCGACCACGATTAAGGGACCTAATTGAGTTTTACACAGGTAAGGTCAGTATGCGATAGGCTAACTATGGGAACCCCCCCACAATATACTGTGAGTATGACTACCCATATATATATATATGTAAGATCCACGCCTACTGTGGCTCCACGTTGACCATTTGAACATCTGCGAAATATAGCTCTTCTGGTGTGAGACTTGCTTCATGCACATCCTTAGTTTTCGACCCTTTGCGTTATATTACGCGACTACAAGCGCCGACCACATCTGTGCAGATCAAGGAGATCAAGGCCATGGCTGAAGATGTCGGTCCTGCCGTGCCGTGCAAATGTTTTGTCACTTCTGGCGGTTCTTTGTGCGTTATCGCCGCAGCCCAAAAGTCTTCCGGTTCCAGGGCAGCTATATCCAAGGTCATTGAGATCAGCAGGTGCTTGTAACACCTGAAAAGGCGTTACGTGTGGCCGGACACGTCTTTGGAGCCAAAAAGGTCCGACACATCAAGCTTCAGGAACCCTGTCCCCTTTTGTAGGAACTTCCGCGATGCGAGAAGTCGTACCTGCATGCATACATACATAGATACATAGATACATAGATACATAGATACATAGATACATAGATACATACATACATACATACATACATACATACATACACACACACATACACACATACACACATACACACATACACACATACACACACACATACATACATACACACACACATACATACATACATACATACATACATACATACATACATACATACATACATACATACATACATACATACATACATACATACATACACACCTACAACATACACACATACGTGCATTACCATACATTACAACTTACAACACAATACACTACGACACAATAATTACATTAGATTACATTACATTACATCGCGCCACAAGCGGCACAACGGACAAGCGCAATACAAGACGCAAGCTTACACATTAACCGTACAGCAGCGTCGTCCTACTGGTCCACCATCTGCGAGGCAATGTTCCGTAGTCTGAGTAGTCTGGGCGTTTCTGTGGTTGGTGAACTTCTGCTGCTAGTCCTCAAGTGGAAGTTTGTACAGAAACCTGACAATAATCGAACTCTGGCGCTAAGCACAAGATGTTCTGGGAATTTTCTTTGGCCGTGTGTGTCTAGCCGTTAGACATCGTGTCTCAATTCTCAAGAGCGACGCCAAATAAGAGCGGCTGCTAGAAGTGGTCGGATGGGAATGAACACTATGGATGATGAATATATTTCGGCCTCTGCGCGGAACGTTCCACATGAACGTTATCGCGTGGCGGGGTGTGAGTAGTGTCGCAGTCCTGGCGCGAGTTCAATAAGGGACATGAGCTTAACAAAACAATCACGCCCGCAGAGTATCCGCGGTATCTTGCAGGGGTGCGTTGCAGGTGTTTCGGGGGGGAGGCAGTACAACCAAGCCACCGGTGCACAATGCATGCATGCAGGTACGTGTGTATGTATGTATGTATCTGTATGTATATGTATGTACGTATGTATGTGTGTATGTGTGTATGTATGTACGTACGTACGTACGTACGTATGTATGTATGTTTGTATGTATGTGTGTCGTACCTGTGTATGAATGTATTTTTGTTCCTGCGTTCTATGTACATAACATGTGTGATGTAAGTGACGTGTGTGATGTTATGTGTGTGTAGGTATGTAGGTATGTATGCATGTAGGTATGTGTGTATGCCTCTGGTATGGTGTGGTATGGTATGGTGCGGTGTGTACTGTGTGTGTAATGTACGTATGTCTGCATGTGTGTGAATGTATGTGTGTGTGTTGCAATGCAGTTCAATGAAATGCAATTTAATGAAATGTAGTGGCATGTAATGTGTGGAACTCATCAATATTTCATCCAGCTCATTCCCTTTGCAAGTGTTCAGCGCAGGTGTGGAGTACGCAAGCAACCACTTCTTGATCTTTCAGATGAGTGATTCTCCTCCTCACGTTTGCCCCTCTTCCGAACCGTCTTCTCCTCGACAGAATCTTCTCCAGAGTTCATAGGGGCTCAACTCATGCAATTCTCACATACGTCGATTAAAGAGTCAACCTTTCTATGCGTCTGCATCAATTGCTGGCCAAGTTTGGTGCCAGCCATCCAGTCTCAAGCTCTTTGACTCAGTATACTTCGTTCGCCAAGCAACATGGCACCGCGCAAGGCCGGCGAAGTTGACGGGGTGCGACGGGAGCGACGGGCAAATGACACATCTTGAGGTGAGGGGCGCGATTGGGGCGCGACTTGCTTTCTCCCTTGCAGTTTGGCTACAACCAGCACTGCCAACCTGCAAGGAGGGAAGCAAGCTGTACCCAAATCGCGCCCGGTGCCCCACAAGATGTCACTTGCAAGCCTGTCTCTCAACCAAAAGCCAACCGCCACAAGGTACAAGATAGTTTCCGATTTGGGAGCACTATGCCAAAGAGAAGCAATTGGCCGGATGGAGGCTACCCCTCCCCCACGTTCCCCAATCAACTCGTTTCAGACCGGCTTCAGACTGGCTTGAGACCTCGTTTTTGACAGTTTTCTCGGGGTTGCTATGGTGTTCTCAAGTACTCCTCAAGTACATCTGCGTCATAGAAAAATGGCTTGGGACGCATTGTGAAGAAACTACATTGCAACATGTGCAAACTAGCCAGCGTGACGAGAGATACTCAGATGGAATCAGGCCCACAGATTTACAGGTTCACGCAAGGTTTTGCCGCAAGTCTTTGGAAGAATATCCTGTGGGCAGACTAACCAACAAGGGGGATTGCCAGGACTTTGCCCGGAAATGCAAGGAAACTGCTGCAACAGCGCGGCAAAACGGCTTATAGAAGATTGCCGGGATTTGTCAACGGTGCCGAGACTATACGGCAAGTGCGCGAAAAGAACTGCCGAAGCTGCAGCAAGACCATGGCGCCAGGGAAAGAACTGCCGGGACTGGGGCAAAGACTCGGTGCAAACAAGCTACAATGACAGGAGCCAGGATTTGCCGGGAAATTGCCGAAAAATGCTGGGAGCTGCGCACTCGGCGAGGAGTGCCGGGCACTTTTGGCCAGGTCCGCGAACATCAGATCCAAAATGTACAAAGCAAGCTCTCGTACATTAGGGCACTCCCCCTCCTAAACATCTGCTTCAACTCATCTAGCAGCATTCCCAGGACAGGAACACATTTCCAAGGACCAGAAGACATCTGCTTCTGCTCAAAGCACTCATCAAACAGCACTCATCAAACAGCACCACCTTCCTGGTCATCATATTCTGATGTTCCGAAAATGCTGCCAAACACTGGTTTTTTACAATGTTTGTAGCCTGGGCGTGGATCTTGGGGGCAGGACCATATATATATATATATATTCCCATTCTCAACCAAGCACTGACCCCAGTCGACACGCCAAGTTCCACCGTGGCGCGACGCACCCGAGGCGCAGGGCGGCTGAAGGAGATGTTGCTCAATATGCTTTTGTGCAGTTGATGTTTGTTGTGTATCATTTCTGTTTGTTTTTGTTGGCGTTGCTGCGGCTGCTGCTTCTGCTTCTGCTGCTTCTGCTGCTGCTGCCCGCTCCTTCACTGCTCGTTTGATAGCGCCCATTGGCCAATTGTAGCCGAAATGAATGCTTGCCACATGGTTCTGGCGTCAGGCGATGAAAACCCACCACTTGAGCCACCCAGTTGCAAGCTATCGGGATCGGCCGCGGTCCAAGTCGCAGGCCGGCTAGCTACAAAAAACCATCAGCTGACATGGCTGCACATGCAGCAGCTAAGATCTCTACTAAAGGTCATGGCGCATGTGTGGCACCAAATATGTGCAAATAGTGTCAGTCTGCTTGCTTGAGCGAAAACAATTGCAAAATCGCGCTTTTATTGATCCGTGTTCGTCAAGATCAGAAAGAAAAGCCACTGAAAACAACTCGCAATCCTCTACTTGTTAGCCTGCATCAGTTGTTTTTGTGGCGGCGCCCGAACATTTCCCAGTTGCTTGAGCTGCCTTGCAAAGCTCAATCGCTATCCCACACAAACATCAGCCGCAAACAAAAAGAAACGCCACGTTTCTGCGAATCTTTCCCTGTGGGTGCTGAGGGTGCCGCGGGCTTCATTCGTCTACTCATGGCTTCGTGCTAGTGAAATGCACCAGCTCCCTCAATCAAGCCTTCCCGCAGGAATCCATCGACTCAGAAGCAAAAGAAAACCAAACCGTGCTGACATCGCAAACCAGTGCTGAGGGGTTTAAAAAGGAGGCGCAAGCGAGACATACGAAACTCCGTCGAGTTTAAGCGATCATGATAAAAATGGCAACATGTACCTTTTCAAGGACTCTGTACTTGTCCAAATTCTCTTTTGCTGTAGTTTGCTGGATAGAAGGGACCAAAAGGGATCCTCCTCTTTGGCTTTTCCATTCTGCGGATCGTCCATCTCCATGAACAAACCACCGCACGGCTGGTCACAAATGCACCAGGGTTGCTGAACACACCTTATTCCCTTGGAACTTCTGGCAGTGCTCCCAATGAACATGGAACCTGTCAGGCTCCTGGTTTGCACCATTGTCCTTCAAAGGGACCATTTCTTTGTCATGCTCCCCTGGGAGCCCTCCCCCCCCCCGAGAGCCCCTCAAAACTGAGGGGCCCAAGAAGCTCAGACGGCGCCTCCTCCGCGGCGCGCGCCAGGCGCTGCACCAGCTTGCTGGCCTCCTCCCGCAGCTCCTGGCGGCTTCCCGGCTTCCCGCGCAGCTGAGCTGAGGCGTCGGATTAGTGTCGAAAAATTGGTTTCCCTCATTTTTTTCTGGGGTGCCATGAATACTGTTTGGCTAGTAAAAAGGCCGGAGAGAAAAGGGACAACCATGCGGAAAGTCCACTTCAGGACACACCCAAATTGGCGCAGGTGCTTGAACCATCACGGGGAAGCCCAGGGGTGCCTTCATCTCATGGGTGGCGCAGGAGCTTCGTGGCGGTGACATCAGCCCGCTAACCAAGGTGCAAATGCCAGCAACACGTTCCCATTAAGAGGGAACACAGGACATGGCGTTGAAAGAGTCTGCTGCAAATCGCGCCAACCAAGGTTCCCCTGTACTCAGCCCGCCCGAAAGCGCGGACAAATCGCATGAGCCAGGTGTCCTTGGCGGCCTCCTCCCGATGCACCGCCGACTGGTTCAGACGCAGTGCCTCTTGCTGCCGCAGCACCTGGCGTCGACTTGAGGGCAGCTGGTCGGCTTGTTTCGTGAAAGCCATAGGTCGGACACTTTTGGTGCAAAGCAAAGATTGGCAAACAATCAAATGCTAGCCACCTTGGGTCGGGTTGACAGAATAGAACCAACCAATACTAGCGGGACGAGTGTTGAGTTTTGTGTTGCCTACTGGAACTCACCAGGGTGCAATATGCACACAACACTTGATGTTTCCCATCCAGTCAGTCTGGTCGCAAGCGCTCTTCAATGGCCCAAACTAACATGTAGTAAAGCCTCCGAAAGTGTGAACAGGTTTCCCGAATGCCGAGATCTCCGCAGCCAACCGAGGGTCTGCCAACGGCAGGCGAGTTTTCCACGGCTGCGCGGAGCCGTGCGGCGTGAGACGGACGGCTCTCACCGGCCGGGGCCGAAGCATGGCGCTGGGAATTCGCAAGCCATGCACCGTGCCACCTGCAGCTTAGCAGCTCCGGCTTCAGTGATTCAGGGGTGCGCTTGCACAACTATGATGCAACGCAGATCAAGCGTGGGTTTGAAATGGTCGCACGTGAGGGGGCCTGAAATTTTCATTGCAGAATTGATACATGCGAGGACCCCTGGTGGAGGCCAAATGAGCTCATTTGAGCGCACTGGTGGTTCCAAAAGAGTCATACATGCCGACAGCTTAGCTCCAGCGTTCCTGCACCAAATCTGTCCACCGCTTGTGCCATGCGGCAAAGTTCGGCCCACTGTTGGTACCAGGATTCCTGCCACGTGTTCAGCTTACCCAAACCTGGTTGAAGTGCCAAAAACTCGCTTGAGAGACGATTTCCCACAGCCTTAATGTGGGTATGGAGCCACCAGGGAACCGCTGGTTTTAGTACTTGTTTCCGTTTACCAGGATTCAAGTTTGGGTAATTACCTGTTGTTGACCCACACCCATGTCCGGACACAGCTTTGGAGCCAAGCCATCAGCTTCTGCGACAAAAAAAGTGCACGTGCGGTACTCCTTCCAGTTTGATTATTTGTTGCAGAGAAACGCTGGGAACATGAACCATGGGGCATCACACGCGGACTGGAAGGATTTGTTTAGTTTAAGCAGTGGTTGAATCAACAAACATGACAACTGGCTTTTACTCTAAGACCTAGCATCGAAACCGGCAAGTGCTGGCAATGAATTCGCAAGCCAGCCCCGGCGCACGCTGCAGCCCAATCGGGCGCGCCTTTCTGGGGGGCAAACCGATCGAGGCGGTTTTTGCTCTCAGCCGGTGACCGGGAGGAAGGCAGGCAAGGGTGCGTACTCCGCCGCGGACATGGGGCCTGAGGCTGCGCACGTTTGGAAACAAGAAGTTGCAATTCATCAGGTTCCTGTCAGTTTCCTTTCCGAATCCACCAAACAGGACCACATTTTGGAGCCGTGCCAAGATCTTGCGTTTGCGCCCATGTCCAGATCTGCGACCGACAGACTGCCCCCCTCACCTTGGGCACATCAAACTTGCCATATCTCAGGAATAAGAACCCCTATAACCAAAACCATCTTACAACACAGCATCTTTGGGGCAATAAAAAGCACCAGCACCCCTGAATAGCACCCTAGCTGGCCAGCCCCTGACCAGCACCCTGACGCAGCGCCAAACAAGCCAGCCACCACCGCCCTGAGCGCACAAACAGCACCCAGATCAGGATGCTGTTTAAAAGCACTCGCAGCACCCACCACGCCTCTTTAGAAGTAAGAACCCCTTATAGCTAAAGCTATCTGGGAGCCAAAAAGGTACCTGTACAGCCATACCCAGCACGTTCTCAAAATGGCCCCCCCTTTACAAACCCAAGTGTTCGTGGTGCCCCTTTTTTGAGGCTACCCCCTTCTTTTGAGGTTCTTGAAAGAAAGGAAAGCCCAGATGTCCATTTTGGGGGGATCCCCCCGGAAAAGAAAAAAAAAAAAGAACTTCGTTTCTTGGTCTCCCTGCGGCTGGACGCGGTGGTAGCACTGCCCACGGAGCCAGGGCGGCCTCTTGGCTAGGGAGTTCGACAGAAACCAACCCAGAACTCAGGTGTTTCAGGAAAGGCCGTATTCTTGTGTGATTTTCCAGGGCTCTGTGTGTCTTGTTTCAACATCGCCACAGGAAACTCACTTTACGTTGGCAATCTAATGGTGATGCTCAAGACCATGGGGAAATATTTCCGGAACCGTGCTCTGAGCCAGCAAATCAAACTGGGACACATGCATCTCATCAGGTCCCCCTTGTTTGGAGGGCACCCTTGTTGAGGTGGTGTTGATGGGAAGTCAAACGGAAATCCAGTTTGGTGACACACCTAAATTTCGAGTAGGCATGACCTTCTCCCTCTTGGAAGCAAAAAGCTGCAATCCACAACGTATGTGGTTCATGCCATTTTGTTTCGGACATTTTACCGGTGAGTTCCCAAAACCCACCTGGCGAACCGCGCACATCACCTAAAGTAGAAGTTCTTCTCCCCAGCCGGGGAGCGACTTCCGTTTCTCGCTTGTGCTTAGCACGCAACTCGGGAATAACTCCCCGGAACTAGTCCCCTAGGATTGCATCAGCAAGTGCTGATTCAATTGGCGTCGAGCCTCCGGATTTGAATCTGGGTGCTTCACTTCCCATCAAGCCTTTTGGGTTTCCGCCGAACTGGCCACACGCGCTACTCCGCAGGCCTGGAAGCATGGGATCCAGATGCCGCACACCCCGCAGGGAAAAGCACCGCTCGGTACCTCGGCCGGGGAAAAGGCGGGGGGGGGGGCTGGGGAACTGGCGGGGGGCCTCTAAAAAAACAGGTGATCGTGCAAGTGCCTCGCCGTTAGCTCCGTCAAGGCCGGTGATAAAAGATCAACATTGTCATCTGTTGATTATTTCGTCCCGGAATTGGCACCTCTCTCCGATCAACGGGTGATTTTCCAAACAACGTTCAGCAGCCACCGCCAAATCAGAAGCGTTCGAAACACCTCCAAACGCGACACGCGCCAAACAAAGGAGCTAGGGATAAGCTCTCTCAGTGGCAAATCCTTTGGCTTGGCTGATCCCTCTCAGATATCCTCGGCTCATCTTCTTCAGGGAGGTTTATGATTTAAACAAAATGATACTACGAGAGTACAACTTCAAAACAAGAAGAAGCCTCCCGCCCTCACCAAAGTGCACCCTGCCAAGCAGCTGGAGAACCGCCGGGGATTGTGCACGTCCACCTCAGCCGGCACCAAGGCACATGTTACGCTCGCAGCCCATGGACATTCTGCTTGCCCAAGCAACCACCGAAAACGTGACCAGGGTGCATCCGTATGCCACTCAACTCTCCGCGCTCAACAGGCCAATTTCCGCACAGGACTGCAACATGTCCAAGAAAGAGCGCTGGTGCCAAAACCACTGACTCTCCAAGCCGAAGTCAGTTGGGGGGGGGAGTGCTGGTTGTGAGCTGATGAATTCTAGAGTCGCAAGCAAAGCAAAAAGAAGCCCGGCTGGTATCCCCAACAGCAACCCCGAAACCCTTCCCGGAGCTGCTCCGAACCACCACGGGCACCATCTAAGCATGCCTCCTCAGCTTGGCCGAGGCGCACAAACCTTGGCGTCCGTGCCATTGTCGCTGGCCATGAAAATGGGCCGCGTGTGTGGCGGCACCCCAGAGCGCTCCTGAAATACAAAGGAAGACGACGCCAAACTGCTGGGCCCTCTCTTTATACTCACATCTTGCTTGGCAACGTTGATGGAGAAGCCTTGGCACTTTGCAATGCCTTCTTCATCATCCAGCAACATCCGGCAACAGGGGTCACATACCTGTGAAGCAGGAGACCGAAAGCTTGCATGACAAGGATAGAACTTCTCAACACAGGCGCCTGCCCAAAGGCGCAACTTGAATCACTTGACATTCATCTGAAGCCAGAAGTATGTCCAAGTGGGTCTGTGTGCGTGTGTCTGCGCGAGCTGGCATATTCAACACAGCACTTTCGTCATACCAACTGCACCTGGAAAAGAAAGAAAAAAACGAAGAAAAAAAAAAGAAAAAACGAGTGCGTCTCCTGTCTCGTGCATGAGAAACAAACCAAGGAAACCTCTTCAGTCATAGTTGTCCTTTTAGGGCAAATAGATGGGTTTCCCTGGTAGATGATGAAACCACCCGCCCATCTCGTCACTCGACTCCGCCGGGCGGCTGGGCGCCGGAAGGTCACCGCCGGCCCCCGGGTGAGGAGCCCGCCCATGCGCTCGCCTCGGAAGATCCCAGCGTTTGGCCGCCCACCAAAAGGCGAAGGCACGGAGTGGGTTGTGTGTCACTTGGTTCTTCTCCGTTTATTTTGGTTTTACTTATTTATCTATTTACTTATACATAATATTTGGGGGGGGTGTTTGAGTTTCATGGGAGTACGCTCCTACTAACGTGAAACTGCAAAACACAAGTAGTCTCTGGTCCGTGGGTGAGCGGAAAGCTCCAATGGCCAGAGGGGATGATATGGGCATGGCTTCAGAACGCAAACACATCCTCTCAAAGGGCACAAGAAGCTTTGAAAACGAAAATGGAAGTGATCATCCCTTTCTTATACTATAAGCCCTGCCTGCAAGTCACTGCCACACAGCTTCCTTGCCAGCGTTCAACACATGCCCGCCCACAGAGCCGCATAGAGGAAATCGGATTGAACTCAGCGATCCAAAGGCTTGGTGCAAGAGTGCACCTTGAATGAGCCCGCTAAATACATCAGCGATGCGATGTCCCTTCAAGAACCAAGGAGGGTGGGCCCTGGATGCGATTTGTAGTACCTGGCCTGTCGCAATGGGAACCTTCAAGCCCTTCAAGCCGCTTTTGCTTCCCACAAACAAGCAAAGGACTGACCTCGGCTATCAAAGGTCCCACATGGCAGCGAAATAACCGCAGAGGCGTGGCTGAACTATGCAAGTTTGGGATTTTTCCGGGGCATGCGTACAGAATCAATCCCGAGGTGCAAAAAAAGTTCCGGCCAACCTCCCCGGTCACCTCCAAAATTCCAGACTGGCGCCACAGGGAATCCAAGCCCCTCGTCCCTCGGTCCCTCGCTAACCGAGGCACCGCTGAAGAGCGTGCCCACGCTCGTGTTGTGCTCCGGGCCCAGCTTGGCGCGCCGCCTTCGCGGCGCGCCTGGCGCGCTTTTTGTTTGGCGCCAAAGCAGCGGAGGAAACGGCGTGGATAAATTTGGAACCCCCCGAAAAGCCCCCTTTTGGTACCTAGCTATGTATGACAAGTCCAAGCAGTCATGGCAACAGTTGGACACCAAGCCAGCTGGTGGGAGTTCCCATTTGACTGCGGGAAGCAAGAAGGAGATTTCTGAAAGCCGCCACATCCTACCAACCTGCGATGCTTGGAGAGGCTGTGAGCCTTTGTGGGGCCTGTACTAGTGCATCTACAGGCAACCCACCAATAGTGGACGTACAAAAAGCGGCACTCGATCACAACCAAATCACAGACACGGAAACTCTAGCATATTACTTTGACGATGAGGCCCTGAGGCCCTTCAAGAAATCGATCTTCCAGGTACTCCCACTGGTGCTATGTGGCACGGAGGGTAGTTTTCGGAACGGGAAAAACAAAGCGCTGCGACGTACCAACCCACGGGAACCAGTCCGACGAGCCGGGCCTGCGCTGCGGCCTTTGCGCGGCTTTTCAGGCACACCTAGGCGTCCAGTGCGCCGGGAGCGCGGAGCCAACACACACGCAAAAAAAGAGAGCAAATGTGGCGCTATGTTGGACAGACCCCACAGCAACGCTCACCAAAACAAGGAAAAAAGTGAGTCAGGTTCAGTGTCAGCGTACTGCTGTTGGTGCGTGGGGTAGAAAAAGGCTCTCGTGCTTGAATTCATGAGAAACCTTGCTCCTCCCAGCAGAACACGAAGCGGCCAGCCCCCAACCGCTGTGAAATGCTTTGTGGGAAAATGCTTTGAAGTGTTCGGCCCTTTCAAAGTCTCTCACACTACAAAAATATGTTGATCGGGCGGGGGCGGGTCGTGGCACCCCGAGAATTGCGAAGTCAAATGGCAGAATATTCAAAATGCCAATCTAGGGCGCTTTCTTCTGCGAGGTTACTTACAAGGACGGCGTATCCCCAGATCATACCGAAGGGAACAAGTCCCTATTATGTCTTTAAGTTGTTTGCTCTGTGTGCCAATCGTGTTCTCCGGCTCCGTTCTCCGGCTCCGTTCAATGAGGGAATCCGGTTTGTCAGGTTTCTGACGGATCTGTTCCGTCAAAGCGTTATGCATCCTTTTGACTGCTGAAAGTACGCATAGATCCAGGCTGAATTTGGAGCCCCCCTGAAAAGGCGGTGAGTTGACATACATCCCAGCCTAGGTCCACCAAATCAGAAATCGGCCGTGGCTTGAAGAGTCCTTCACTGCAATTTGCTGATACACCGTGCCGGTACGAGGGGCCGGCTAGCAGTTAGCATTGCTTGTCTCTTCCTGCCCAGGCGCGTTCGCGGACACGCTCCATGGACGTGACCTCGGGCGTTGCAACATGATCCGGCGGGAAGCTCGCTGATTTGGCTGTGGCTAAAAAGATGTACACAAAATGGCACCTTGGTATGTGGAAACAAAGACCAAAACCTGGTTCACCCACCCATTTGTACCCCAACGCGTTCGAAGCTCACATCCGATCCAAGGTCACTGCTGGCCCGCTGGGCGGCAAGCGCGGACTCTTCAGAGCCCGGCACATGTCCTCGGGCGCTCGAGGAATGCGGGATACTTGTTTGCGGTAGGAGCAGGGATCTGGCGGTTGCGCAGCCAACGCAAAGAAGCAGACATAAACTGACGCACGGCGACAAAATAGTGCAAGCTGCATATTCAAGCTTGCTTTGCTTTTAGCGACCAAAGCCCTTTGCACCCCCCCCAACAAGCAACACGATGGAGTAACTTATTTTTTCATCAAGAAAGATAGGAGGTGGCAAGTAGAACCCTACCTCTCGAAGATAGAACCCTTGCATCAAAACGGCCTCGCCTCTTTTCTTTTTTTCGGTCACTGAGTCGGGCGCCAGGATGTGCTGCGGCGCATTGGGCGCCAGCACGATGCGGCCCGGCGCCATCGCGGGAGCTGTGAGTGAACTTGGCTCCGAATTTGTCTTTCACGTGGGTCAAAATTAAACCACCAGGGGACCGCAGGTTTTAATCCATGTTTTTATTTACCAGGGTTCCATTTTGGGTACATATTTTTGACCCACAGCCATGTGGCGGGGTTCGGGGGGAGGGGGGGGGGGAATTGAAGGGGGTTCAACCGGTAGGCTCCAAGCCTAACTTAACACATGTCAAGGTTCTTACGGTAGTGGATCAGGCTATGGTTTGTCTTGCTATGGCACTTTGTCTGAATTGTACTTGCTCTTGCTGAATCCTTCTCTGCCCGGTGAGCCGGAGATGACAGGGCCCGCGAGGGCGAGAAACAAGTTCGAAGCTGAACGCGCCATATCAAAGGCACCCTCTGCAGGGATGGTCAGCATATTTCCTGAACACCTTTCTGACCTGGACAATAGCAATCGTATCTGCACATGCCCTTCTACGCAGATTGGTTGTGCTGGAATTATTGCAACTCATGCACAGGTTGGCTTTTTCAATTGAATGCAATCAGCTCACCGTGACTGACGGGAAACACAGAAGTCTCGGACAAAACATGCGACGATTCCGCGATGATGATGATGATGATGATGATGATGATGACGATGACGATGACGATGACGATGACGATGACTATGACGTTGACTATGACGTTGACGATGACGTTGCTGATGCTGATGACGATCATCGATGATGATGCTGATGCTGATGCTGATGCTGACGCTGATGATCATGATGATCATGATGATGATGATGATGATGATGATGATGATGATGATGATGATGATGATGATGATGATGATGATGATGATGAGGATGCTGATGATCAGGATGATGACGACGATGATGACGATGACGAGGGCGAGGATAACGGCAATGACAATGATGAAAATGATGCGGACGATGATGAGAACGACGATGATGACGATGACGACGATGATGACGACGACGATGATGGTCGTGCTAGTGCTGGTGGAGGCAGGATTTAGTAGCAACTAACGACGATGGCGGTTGCTCAACAGCGGCGGTGGCGACGAAAATGATAAGGACAAATCTTGGTGAAGAGCTGGAAAGACCCACTTGGAAACAAGAAATCCCTCAGTAGAGAACCTACAAGGGTGAAGGTGCGCTGGTTGCAATCTTTCCGGCTAAACGCCACTTGCTTGTACACGGCATGCCCCAGCTTTGTTCCAACATTGGCCCAACTACTTGTCCTTCTCACTCTGTTCTTCGAAAACGGTGAAAAGCCCCAAACTTTTGCGACGAACGGCCCACTCCCCGACTTGAACGTCTGAACGAAATCGCCTCGTTGCGGGCACTCTCATGGGAGGCCACCTCGTGCCGGGCAGCCCTGGCACGAAGCGGGTGCGAGCGCACCGGCGGCCGCGCGCGCAGGGGTTGCCCTCATCAACTGAAGCGGCCACAAATTGGCGGTGTCCTTTTTCCATTTGTTCTTACTTTGGCCCCCCCCAAAAAAAAAAAATGTTTGGCGTTTGGTGGCTTCCTCAAAAACCAACGCGCAAACAAGGGTACCCCCGAGAGAAAGAGCAACCCGGTTTTAAACAGCGAGCTGAAACCTGCTTGGCATTGGACATCGGACACTTTGCGAGTTTGCTTTGAGACCAAACCATGTCCCTCTCTGTACCATAGATTGCAGGACAACTTCAGACCTCAAATGCGGCCCTCAAATGGCTGTAGAGACTTCAGCCGGTGACACGTCCAAAGAAAATCCCAAAAAAGGGAATCGCCATGGCCCGCTTTCGTTGGAGAGAAAGCAGGAAGAAGCTCCTTGTGGGGTTCTTATCCCTGCTTGCAGGGGAGTACTGGTGGCGATGTTCGGGTGTAATTAGAGGCCCCTGACATTGGGTTGTTTGCTTGTGTTCCTTTAAAACCATCCAACAAGTGGTTCGACAATTTTGAGAACCCCCCCCCCTTTATAGGGCGTTGGCATTCATAGCACCCACCACCCAGCCTCAAACCCCCAAGAAGGCCCTCAACTGGGCTGTTCCCAGATCTTCTGCCAAAAGCCTAAGCTTTTGTGGTTTAGTGGAAACTACCACTACAAACCAACTAAAAAGCTAAAAAGCTGAAACCCACTACCACTAAACCAACTAAAAAGCAAAAAAGCCCAGGAACCGGATGGCTGGGAGCCACCAGAGATCGAGCGGCCGGTGAAGCAGGCCGGGCGCTGCTGGGCCCCGGCCGTCCGCCGCCGCGCGTGCGTGGACGGGGGCATGTTGCGGGAGGGGCTGCCAGTGGGGCCTCGCTGGGAGCCGCGCGTGGATTGGTGGCTTGGATTGCTTCCATCTGCTTCTCCGCCCCCCTGGAAAAAAATGAGAGAATGGACAATGAAACATCTTCATAAGCAAATGGATGATTGGTGGTTTGGTGGGTGATTTGCCAGGTACTTAAACCAGGGCTTCAAACCCCTAACCACGATTTGAACCACCAGCTAAGGGTTCCCTGCAGTACTCACCACCAAAATCTACTCCTGGCAGCTTCATCATGGCTCATACGTCCCAGTAAAAGTTGCGTCCTATTGCAGTGGGCCTGTCGGTTTGGTGGGTGGTGTGGACTCATGTTACCGCCACCAGGGTAGAACTTGAGGATTGTCAAATTGATGGCAGCCTTTTGGAATCCCATTTTTCAGGCAGGCTGACATGAAACCAGGGTCCCCATAATTCATCTACAGACAAAACACACACACACACACACCCACACCCACAAGCACACGCACACGGACACGCACACGCACACGCACACGCACACGCACACGCACACGCAGACGCAGACGCAGACGCAGACGCAGACGCAGACGCACACGCACACGCACACGCACACGCACACGCACGCACGCGCACGCACGCGCACGCACACGCACGCACGCACGCACGCACGCACGCACGCACGCACGCACGCACGCACGCACGCACGCACACGCACGCACGCACGCACGCACGCACGCACGCACGCACGCACGCACGCACGCACGCACGCACGCACGCACGCACGCACGCACGCACGCACGCACGCACGCACGCACGCACGCACGCACGCACGCACGCACGCACGCACGCACGCACGCACGCACGCACGCACGCACGCACGCACGCACGCACGCACGCACGCACGCACGCACGCACGCACGCACGCACGCACGCACGCACGCACGCACGCACGCACGCACGCACGCACGCACGCACGCACGCACGCACGCACGCACGCACGCACGCACGCACGCACGCACGCACGCACGCACGCACGCACGCACGCACGCACGCACGCACGCACGCACGCACGCACGGCACGCACGCACGCACGCACGCACGCACGCACGCACGCACGCACGCACGCACGCACGCACGCACGCACGCACGCACGCACGCACGCACGCACGCACCCACACACACACACACACACACACGTCAAAACCCACGGGCCCTTCTGATGGCTTTGGCAGGAAACCTGCATGAAACCATTTGGAGCAGTTTCGATACACAGCCAACATTATCATCTGCCATCAAATCCAACATATGGCTGTGGGTCAAAACCCTGTACTCCTGGACATCAAAATAGGTGGCAAATGGATGCTCCACCCCAAAATGTCCCATGGCCATATCTATGGATACTTTGCAGGTGCCTCAGAGCCTCAGCTGCGTAGCTCTGAGTGCAGCCAACCCTCGCTCCGAGCGGATCTGCCCACACCTGCCACTCGGCTGGGAGCCCCGGCGCTGGATGGAGCGCTCCGCAACTTGATCAAAGCTCCGTGACCTCGGCGGTGTCGATTTGGGTGGGCTCAAAATTGAAGAGCTGGGGCAAATCGCAGGGTTTTAGTCTTTGGTTCCATTCCATTTACCAAGGTGCCATTTTACATGTTTTTGAGCCACAGTCATTTGCTTGGGTTTTGGGACATGCTTCTAATGGGATCAAATGCTCCCCGAGTGCAATGAGCAAACCCGCAAAGCCAAATGCGTGCCCGCAAAAGAAAACAGGATATTTAGGCAGCTTTGGCCGAGCTATCCAAGCCACTAGGTGGTTATGATGAATGTTTCGTCGCTTCCATGGAACAGAAAACAAGGTTAGTGTGATGCAACCAAGGTTGTTCTTGAAACAACTCGTGCTGGCTCGGGTGACTGTTTGCTGCTGCTTGGTCGCTTGCTTCAACTGGCAGTGTGTTCCCCTGAAGACTTCATAAACAGGATGCACCTCCAACTTGGGCTCCTTTAATGGACAGTTTCTGGGCTGAACGTGAGAAAACGGAGCTGCTTCCCTTTGACCAACCACTGGTTAAAACAAAAAGAAAGGGCCAAGCACGCTTTCACTCTCAGGATCCCCGCGTGGTTCGTAGGCACAGCTCGTCAACGGATAAAGCCTGCGAGGCATCGATGTGGTGAGGGCTCCAAAGCCAAAGCACCCAAAACTCATTGGCTGTGGCTTCCATAAAACCTATAGCTATAGAGGCGTCTATAAGCCTCACTATGACTAACCAGGTAGTAAAACCTCCCAAAAGGGCCAATGAAAAGCTTTGGGAGCAAAGAGGCGCATCGTCACAACGGTTTCGAGTCCGGTTTCGGTAGCAAGAGCCCGGATTGTTCCAAGGCCAAGGCAGGATGAAGCTTTGATTCTGATGGCTCCAAGCCTTCAGAATCAGAAGCTTAGGGAAAAATCCAAACCAAGGTTGCTGGCTTGGGCAGGTGCAACTGCAAGCCCAGAATTCTAAAGGTCACTGTTCGATGAGAAATCGCTCCTTTGATCAACAGCGACTGACCACTCAATTGTTTTTAACCACCAACAAACCTTGCTCGCAGCCTCGCCTGTGTCTTCTGCGCAATGTCGTGCCGGACCTCCTCTAACTTGCCTGCACATGCTGGGGCCATCCAAGGTAGTATAATTCAGCTCACCCTGCGAAGGCTAACCTTGGGTTTGTCCTCCAATGATTTGCATAGTTGTACGATGCTGCCAAGCCTGGATTGTGGTTGCTGCTATGCCATAGGGTACTCCTCATAGGGCCCGGGCTTTCCAAGGCCGCGATGGTCGCCTTGGTCTTCTTGATAAAGTCCTGGTGCCAAAATGGCAAGGGTATGGGGGGGGATTCAACAATGGTTACAGAACGCAAGCCCCAGTCTAAGAGTCTACGTCCAAACTCCGTTGTTTATGGGTGTGTCTTGATAGCAAAAGGCGGTGACTGGCCTTCGAGGAAGATTTCCAACCGTGGAGAATGTAGTAAGCTGAGCGAACAAGCATGCTATCTTCCACGCTACCACCCGCTTCCCTGCGATCACCTGGGCCCGGTTGATGAAATCTGACAGCAGCCAGGTCACAAGACTGGTAAACTCATCCATCACACAATGTTCTTCAAATGTCAAATTGTTCCAAGCCCGGCCTTTCTAGAATTTCTAGTGGTCGGCCTCAAGCTCTTTTGCTGGCCGAGTTCAGACCCGCTGTCCTTTAACTTCCTTTGAGCATCCACCAGCGCGGCCTTCTCCACCTGAGGGTGACAGAGGTGGTTCAGTGGAGGTGGTCCGATGGCCTTTCCTGTTGCCCTGATCTAACACAAACCTGTCTTGTCATACCAACACGACGCGACCGATGAAAAAGGTGGTGTTGAGATTGACCAGCTTGGTGCGTTTCGAAGTGAACAGCGCTGGGTTCCAATCAACCTAGGGTCTGTTCGGGCCTCAAGCTGTTTGGATTTCAAGAATGTGAAGCTCATGGGGCCCAAACCCCCCCCAAAAAAATCCGCCGTCTTGAGTTTCCCTCTGCTAAGAAAGGCACCAAAACAGACCCCCAAAACACCCGCCAGATCCCCAAAACATCCAAACCATCCCGAGAAGCACTCCTGACCACTGAAACACCGAAACAGGCGCTGAAAACACCCGACCCAAAGACAAACCCCCGGCCGCCGCCGGCACCACACCGACCCCTCTTGTCACCTCCAGGCACACCTCCACGGTGTCGCGCACCTGGTTTGGCGGTGTGGCTTCGATTGCCGGCTTGTCGGGTGTTGGGGAAATGAACCGGTGCCTCAAAAACGAAGTGGGCACATGGTCACATCACTCTGTGACTCTTCACAAACCCTTGCTTCCCAGGGAGTCGCCAGCTAGGATCTCGCTTCAGCTCAACTGAATCTGGCAACATGTCCTGTGCACCAGCCTTCCGTTCGAGATTTCAAGCAAAGGAGGGGCCTGCAATTTCCGACTCCAAGCAACCAGCTGTCCCACAAGCCTTGCACGCCATCCGTTTTTCCTTTTTCCGAAGATTGGAAAGCGGACGCCTGAGCGCTACCTTTCGAACCGTTTTCGCCGCGTCTCGCCGGGTTTCGCCCACGTCCCGACCGAGTCCCGGCCCGCCGCGGTCGCGCGTCGCGCCTGCTCCCGGAGCGGCCGGCGTTCTCGCTGCTCCATGCGCCAGGTGCAGAGCGCCAGCGGCGCCTCCTCGCAAACGAAACGAGTCGCCTCCTTGGCTCTTAGCTTGAGTCGTACAAAAACAACAATTCTATTTGCAAGTGTTTTTTTCCTAGATGGTTTTTGTTTCTTTTTGTCGTGTCTTGGTCACCCCCTTGCCACCTTGAACCAGGGGATAGGATCAAACGAGTGTTCTACACGGGCAATACCAATACCCTCCCACGGGATCATAGGATCTGGAATGGTTTACATTTCTGAAATACCCCTGGGTGACATCTTCCACTTGGAGGGTCACCAGGTCAGGACACCAAATCACTGGCCAACCCAGGGCTATCCCAGCCACAGAAAGAAACACCCAGGCGGCAGAGGTGAGAAAAGGTGATGCTCCTCTCAAGGTCTCAATGGTCGGCACAAGCTTTGGGAACCCATGTGGGTCCCATGGGTTGCCAAGTTGACACAAAGCTCCCCTGAGTCATCTCGACTTCCCACATCCTCAGCTTACAAAACACTCACACCGCACGGCCCAGGCTTTGCCGCCCAGCGTGGAACACGCCCAAACAAAAACCTCCAGTCACATGAGTCACAATCAACCCCCGGTACTAAAACGGTTGACCCAGAACCATGCAAAGAATCAAGAAGGCGGATATCCGCAACTATTTCTGGTTGGGATTGTCCCTTACTTACCAGGTCTTGAGCCACGTGGCTCACATGCCTTCAAGGGAAAAACACCCGAGCCCGGCGCTGACGAGCCCGGTGACGCCGGTGCCTTGGCGGCCAGGGCCTCCTCCAGCTTCTGCAGGGTCTGCCTCCGATGGATCCCGTCTGCCGAAATGATCCGGTGCCGAGTTCTCACGGAAGATCCGAGGTGCTCCAAAGGTCCTTTTGGAATTTCTGAATCTTCTGTGGCAAGGGGAACGCTCAAAGGACCTGAACGTCGAGGAGTTCTTCTTACAAGCAAAGAGCCGAATGCTCCTGGCCCACTTGTTCAAGGCTTGTTCCGTTGTTGGATTCTCGGAATCGAGAAGTCCACCCATTTCAATGATTGGCCCACTTCTCCAGAACACATGACCGCGATGGCTATCAATGATTCAGCACGTGTGCAGCTGTTTGCTGGTCGGAACATATTGGTTTCCAGATTGTGGAGCAAAGGATCAGACCAAGCAGGCTTTTCCACCAACCAGTGGTAAGACAAACAAACAAGCAAGCAAACAAACAAACAAACAAACAACCAACCAACAAACCAAACAACCAGAAACTACCGTGCTCTCTTCGACTTGTTAAGTGCGTGGCAAGCCCGGGTTTAATTCAAGCCCGGACCCGTCCTAGTGTGCTGCAGGGAGTTCTCCACAGACTGCGCCTCGGCTTCAAAATGGCGCTTGGTACACCCAACGTCTCACAGACATAGGTGTCCTTTTGGGAAAATAGGTGGCCCTGGTAGTTGATTGAACCACCATAAACCAGGAATCGCCCTCCATTTTTCAACCAAATAGATTTGTGAGGTACTCCTGAGTCATGTGGCTGGTCAAAATGTCACCGGAGGGTTTTGGTCTGTTCCATTTGCCAAAATTCCATTTTGGGTACGCATTTTGACCAGCCATGTAGACACAATTTAGTGCATCCCAGGCAAGCCAAATTAGTAGGTAACCTTCGCCATTTTCAACTGTTGGCTTGGGGCTGGCAAGCCCTTGTCTACCTATACAGGGAAATGGAACCACTGGGAACATAAGTTTGGGGTCCCACGTGTGAACGGACATCTGCGCCTCGGACAGTAACTCCCGCATGTGCCAAAAATAGGGCGCATATCGGGTAGTCAGGTGCCCAAAAATGGTTCATGCACCTTGAGGGTGGCTGCAGCAGGGGACGTCCATGGCCAAACAGAAAGCACGGATTTGAGGTGTTCTTCCCTTGCGGGCACTCGACTCCGCCTTCGTCCCCACACTGCCCATACGCCACTTCCCATCAGGACCCTGCATGCCATACTGCAAGCACACAAGTAGCGCCACCACGCACCAGGTCAGCAAAGGCTGCCCTACCAAAGCTACCTTACCGCAAGTCCCTTCCTCAATGTCGTTGCCCACTGTGCCGCGGAGGCAGAGCCGTAAAGCAACAAATGCGGCTTGGTCGCTGTAACTGAATCCGCCGACCCCATGCCTGGTCCAGAATGGACCATGCTTTCGGCATGGGGGCGGTGTGTTCTGTGTTGCTTTTGTTGATATGCTTTCTATAAGTTTAATGTGAATATGTTTATGTAGATATATATATATATATATAACCTATATGTCCCTTGGGGCTGGTTTCTACGTCGGCTGGATTTCTGGATTTCTGGATTTCTGGATTTCTGGATCTCTGGATTTCTGGATCTCTGGATTTCTGGAATTCTGGATTTCCCCCCCCCTCTCCCCCCTCCCCCCCCCCTCCCCCTCCCCCTCCCCCTCCCCTCCCCCCCCTCCCCCCCCCCCCCCCACCCCCTTCTTCCCGTAATCTTCCGTAATCTTTCGGCTTCTTCCAGTAGTCTTTCGTAGTCTTCCGGCTTCTTCCCGTAGTCTTCCGTAATCTTCCGGCTTCTTCTCCTAGTCTTCCGATACTGTTTCGGGACCAAACAACGCGCGTGTCCTGTGCTTTCGGGCTTCTTCCCTAGGCTTCGGGTAGTCTTCCCCCCCTCCGCCCCCCCCTGTGTCTGTGTCTGTCTACGTATCTGCATCTGTCTTCGTGTCCGCGAAGACCCCCCCTGCCCCTGCGTGTCTGTCTGTGTCTCTTTGTGTCTGTCTGGGTCTGTCTGCGTCTGTCTTCGTGTCCGCGAAGACCCCTTGCGTGTCTGTCTCTGTCTCTTTGTGTCTGTCTGTGTCTGTCTGTGTCTGTCTACGTATCTGCGTCTTTCTTCGTGTCCCCCCCCCCCCGCGTGTCTGTCTGTGTATTTGTGTCTGTCTGGCTCTGTCTGCGTCTGCCTGCGCATCTGCGTCTGTCTTCGTGTCCGCGAAGACCCTCCCCCCCCGCTGCGTGTCTGTCTGCGTGTCTTTGTGTCCGTCTGTGTCTGTCTACATATCGCGTGCTTTCTCTCGTCCCGGGCCGAAATTCTAAGGTGTGTGGGGGCGGCGGAACCAGGCCGCAGGCCATTAAATAACTTCTTGAGTGCACCCGATGCCAGCTTGCCTGGTGACTTGAAGCGAGACAGTGTCTCAATTTCTGGTTTGGAGTGCTAGGACTGCCTCATCTTAGCCAAGATGGATTTGGGGGCAAAGCCACAACGAACTGTCCGCAGGGCGGTTCATGAACCCCGTTCTTTCGCCTCAGGCCACTTCTCAAGGAGCGCTTTTTCCCGGTCACCCTGGGCGAAATCGCCCATCCAAGCCCTTGGGGGCCGGGCACGGTGCAGCAACTTGTCCAAGAGGCGCTGCGACGTCTTCACCTCCGACGGCAAGGGGATCGCACCATCGAGTCTTAAGTCACATTTGGCCATGGGTCAAAATCCAAATCGTACCCCCAGTCAACATCCCAATCCCCACCAAGATAGACTAAGATGGGTGGTGCACCTACCCCAAAATGGTACCAGTGGTTTTGACCCACAGCCATTTGGACATCGTTTGCATGATACGTTTCTTGCACCAACTCCAAAAATGGTGCTCCCATAGAAACCCATGGCCATAACCCCCGCTTGGTTCAGAGACGTTTGGGACACCTTGTGGAAGCACCAGCTGCTTCTTCTATCAGTCCGGGTTCAATAATTCATTCCGGGTGAACTATTGCGGGCCACGCGCTTTCGCCCGCTTTGCCAATTCCTCTTACCTGTGGCAAACCCGGTCCTCAGCATAGCACGACATGAAGGCTTCTTGCTTGGGAGTTTCAGGAAACGGGAGGCGTTTCTGAAGGCAGAACTACTCGAGGGTGTGCTGTCGGTTTCGATGAACCCTTCACCTGGGGGTGAAGATTTGAGGTCATGGGGCTCCTAAAAGGGGCTCTTTGAAGATATTTGAAGGCAACTGGGGGGGACATCTGGCATTACACGAAACGCAACACCACAGGCGAGCGGGATGCACTGACACCTCTTCCTTGAAAAAAGAACAACCTTTGACTTGATACTTTGAAGTTATGGCATTCGCCGAACGCATAGCGATTGGACTTTCCAGCAACTCGACGAATGCATCGGGCCTTCTGCTCCAGGGAGGTATGCAGCTCATTGTACCTCGTCAGAAACGCCATGGCACAACCAAACAATTTGCAGCTGATTGAAGTTACGCCAGTTTTCAGGTGATTGAAGTTACTCCAGAACTTGACACCAATTAGCCTTGCTCTACATTATTGTGCGGGCGCAGTCCTTTTGCTAGGGCCTACACGGGGCTTCCGCGGCTGCGAGGGTTGCTTGAACGAGCGGTGCTGACATAGCAAATGCTTACGTGGATTGAGGAACGCGTGTTTTTGCCTACGCAAACACGGCGAAATCACAAAAGCAGAGCTTTCAAAGTATGCTTTCGCCACCTTTCGCGACTGAAAACATGAAAAAAACACATAGGAAAACACAGTTTCTAAACTTCAGATTTCTTCACGAATATTACTTTCAATTGCAGGAAACTTAGACCGCTGCTCAATTGGATGTCTCAACAAGGTCACTGTGCCTGGTTGGTCAACTCACACCATACCTAGTTTGCAAGCGGACAGCCCAGTGCAGAAAAGAGTAAACCCAGTAGATGATGAAGTGAGCAGGTTTGGGAGCTAAAATTGCTTTGCTGCAGGTTCATGTTCAGCAGTTAGTTGCTCTTACTAACGTTTGTTTGGTATGCGTCTGCTGCACGGGTTTCAAGCTTATTACACCAGCACAAACCCCAGATAGCGAAACCTGAACCTCCACCCCACATTGCGTATCCCCCTGCCGTCCGTCAATCTCGCACAAACACGCTTGTGCCGTCACCAGTATCCAACAACACCCCGAACAGCACCCCAAGAACCCCCCGAGCACCCGGCTGCCAATCTTGCAACAATGCGCCCGCAGCGCCACCTCCCCAAACAGCACCCCAAAGCAGCACCTGTATGCCTGCCGCCAATCTGGCAGAGATGCACCGTCACCACCTCTAACAACATCCCAAACGGCACCTGCACCAGCATCCCCAAACTGCATGCCCAGCAACCAGCCGTCTTTCTCCTCTTTATTAAAAATTAGAACCCCTATAGCTTTCAGCTATCTGGGGACTTACGCCGGCTTCTTCCAAAGATTTCAGCTTGACAGGCCGGAGCAATGGTAGATGTGTTGCCTTTGCGATGGACTCCAGTCACCCTGCTGTGTTCAGCCGGTGGGTTGTTTCAGCGTGTACTGCGTGAGTCAGTTTCAGTTTGGTGCGTTTGCACGGATTCAAACCTGTTGTTTCACAGACTTGGCCAAAACCGGGCTTGTCAGCTGGCATCTCCAAAACAATTGAGTGGGGGCTGTTATTCCCTTTGTAAATTTGCATTGACGTATCAAACCCTTCCGCGAAACCTTCCGCGAAGCTTCCGCAGTGTGAAGGGTACCTTCTGCGAGCATGTTTCTATATAAGTTTGTATAAGTGCTTTCGCGGGCCTTCCACAGGCAAGTTGCTTCTGGAAACTGAGGAAAGTAGCTTCCGCGAGGGAACGTGCTTGGCAACAACCACCCAACCGACATCAAACTACTATGTGCAAATCCAGAGGGTCCCTTCCCCAGGTTTCCGCGGGAAAAAAACCTTCCGCGAAATTCCCGTGACTGCGCTGTTTTTTGTTGATATGTCAACATCTATACATGTTTGGAACTCAGGGCAAGGGAACAAAGGCTATGACGGCCCTAAATCTCAGGCCTTATGTTGCTACTATGTTGTCATTATTAAAGTTTAATAAGTCTTGCAAAAATAGCAAGGACATCAGCTTTAATAAGCTTTAATAAACTTTAATAAGCTTTAATAAGCTTAAATAAGGGTAAAATAGGACGAACGAGCCTGTGTAACCCCCCGAATCACATGAAAATTGTCGATTTGGGGGGTTTTGCTTGAGCGGACAATTCAACCGCCACTCAGTTGGATTTGATGGTGCGTTGCGGTGCTAGAATGGAGGCCTGCATCCAAGCCCAAGTCGAGTTCGGCAGTTGGCCTTCATTCCTCGGAGGGGCGAGCACTGGCAATCATCTCCATCGCTATCTCCCTCCCTATCTCGCTCTTGATCTGCGTTCCGAACAAACACCAAACATGCCAAAGGTGAACTGGCGCACATGCCCATGTTGTCGGACATCACCTGGCGCAAGTGCAACGCCAACCCGGCTGTGACCCGCCATAGCTCGCAGAACTCACTTCTGCCCAAAGGATCCCATGGGAGCATGGCTCGCACCTTTGGAGCCCGGCAAGAAGAAGCACCAAACAAGTTGCGCGTTGCCAAGACCTTAACACCCGTCGCCACAAAACTCCCATCGCCCGTCGCCTCGCCATGGGTCCTGTTGGATCGGTCCTGCTGATCCATGGCCTGCACTCCCGTTCGGTTCGCGGCCGGCTCGCTCGGTGTGCCAAAGGCCATGTGTTGAAATGTGCGTATCACACTCGGCAACGGCCAAAAAAAACGCTTGATTTGTTCATGGTCAATGCCTGTCTCCACTCTGCACGCGACCCAACAACCCTGTTGGTCTGATGAAAGCAATCGGGCAGGAACCGCCAGACCGCCCCAGATCCTTCCCATGGCCTTCCGGTGTGTGCTCTGCCTGCCACGGGATCAGATGCTGCAACTGCGCACTTGCAAGGGGCAGTCTGCATTTGGTCCCAAACTTACGGCCCCCCTGGATGGCTTTTGCAGGTGAACCCAAGGGAATTGTCCCTCTGGCTTTAGAAGCGATTCCAGCAACAGATTTCACCAGCTTGGTTGCTTCTTGACCCGCTTGTTGCTCGTCGCTTGACAGCGCCACGCAGTGCAAGTGGTGATTTGCGTGCAGGCTGAAATCAGGCGCAATGGACGTTGGCTTTAGATTGGCATATCTACGAATGACTCTCAATTCTCAGTGTGCCCCCAATGTAAGGACATCGGCGAGTAGCGCCATTTACTGGATAACATTTCGGCGAGCGTAGCCCATGATCCTTTGGCAGGCGAATAAGTGTTGCAGAAAGAGTTCTTTGGCTCATGCCCAAGCTTGATACATCTAAGAGGCAGTTGGACAAGAGTGAAGGATCTTCTGTACTGTCGCATACATCTCGGCTCTCGGGGGCCGGGGGATTGAAGGCACGGATGGGATTTCTGCTTGGAAAGTCGAGGTCGGAGACCCTGCGAGTCGCTTCCCTTTTGGCCAACTCCCCCTTCAAACCAATGCCAAAAAATCAGCCCATCAGCGAGAACCAGTGTGGACAACTTGCCGCGTGGTTAAACAGCTACGACTGCAAGAATCCTGGTAGAAACCCGGCGCAAGTTATCACCCGCATTTGCCGTGCCATTTTGGGTACCTATTTTTGACCCACAGCCAGTTCAAGCTCCATGCCCGCAGCCCAAATCGGCCAGGAAGGCGCTGAGTACATGTTGTACTGCGCATGTTGCACCCACTCCTGGGACATCGCCAGTGGGGAAAGAGAGGCGCGAGGCGGCTTGAGGTGCCCGAAAAACATACGCTCGCAATGACTTCCTTCACCATGGGACATGATAGTGTCATGATTGCCGCTGAACCTTGAGGCACACAAGTGCTTGAACCACCGAAAGGTCAGGTTGCTTCTATCGAAGAGATCCCGTCATGGTCGCTTCAGCAACGCCTTCCCCTCTCCCCCGTCCTGTGTGGTGTGCATGCTCATCCTGGCCAAGGACCTGCACAGGCTAGTTTTAGCCATCCCAGAAAAACCTTCTCGCTCTTCTCGCGACCATGCTTTCTCTCACGCGGGTTTAACCAAAAAAGCCCCAGCGCCGAGTCCTCAAGTTGTCCGCGCTCAGACCAAAGCCGTATGGTTTGCCCGAACGGCCACCAAACGCCAAGCTTTGCCCTACAACATGGTGTCCAAATGTCCATCCACATGGCCTCCAGAGTGCACGACCGTTCACCAGGCAGGCCTCGCTCTTTAGCTTAGCACATTCAAAAAACAGTCATGCAGCTTTGAACCAAATCCGCACATCAAAAGAAGCAGCAAGGAAGTTGCTGCTCCAACTGTGCATGATTCTCCAAATGTTGGGCAGCCTCTTTGTAAGCGGTTAGCAGCTTGAAGGCTCGGTTGAATTGTTGCGCCCGTCATTGGCAAGAACTCGCCTTTACCTTGGCATGCAAGAATGATTCTGTTGGCAAGAAATATATATATATATATATATGTGGCCATTGGTCAAAATCCCGTACCCCCAGTAAACATCCCAATCCCCACTAAAATAGACTAAAATGGGTGGTGCACCTACCCCAACATGGTACCATTGGCTTTGACCCACAGCCATATAGATGTGTATATATCTAATGAATGCAAAACTGCCAAACTCGTACCAAAACATGTACGCCATGTTTCCACGAAAGGAAGGATCAATCCGAGCTCATCCAACTTGCGATCCCCACCAAGATGTATGTTTGCGGGCATCAACCTGCACTCTTCCTGAAACCTGGCATGATTACCCGTGTCCTGTGTCCATGATGTGTGGTTCTGCCCGGCCTGACCAGCGGCCCCCACAGCCAGCAGTTTTACGCTGGTCGGGGCTGCCGCGTCTGCAGCTGAGCCAAACAAACGCAGGCCGCTGCAAACGTTGAAAAAATCTGCAGAGGCGCCCTTGGTCCGACAGCTCCTCTGGGAATTCACGAGCGGATTCTTCACAGGGAGCACTCAGCATGTTGTAAACTTCAAGCTCGATTCTTGGACCTTTTGTCCATTTGAAGGCGTCGTTTGGCTAGCCACTTGCCCCAGAAGTGTGAGAACTCCAGTCAGTTGGACCATTTAGCCAGGTCCGTTCAACAACCTGCAACACATGCTATAACACAACACTCCGGAGGACAATCCGGAGCAATGCACTTTGGGTTGAGGGGGGGGGTCAGAATAGTCCTCTGGTGGGTTACACATGCGCTGGAACCAATGCTCTTTTTGTGAAGAACAATTATGGGTGCACTATCGCAGCCTGCAATCAGGAATCCCAAGTACTGGAATTTCACGTTGAACAGCAAACAGACAAGTACGCACACTCAGTTGTCCACCCAAAATGATACAACACCCTTTGACTGGGCCTCAACAGCATCACAACGGTCGCTTCATAGCATTGACTTCCGCAAATTTGCAGGGCTTCCTGGTCCAAGTAGTGTCAAGGAAGAATCGCTTTGCGTCGTAACTGCCCTTTGGAGCTTGCAAACATGTTGGAAGGCCCTCCAGCGGCATGCCTCGAAAGCAAGCTGCCTTACTCACAACCCCATAACTCCCACGAATGACCTGAATCGAACTTGAACAGGAGATGGGGTTGCTTTGAACTGACATGCATCAACTAGCAAACAGCGCACCTCTAACCACCCGCACGCTGTTGCTTTTTTCCGTAAGGATGATCAGGAGAGTAAGCAAAATCATGTCTGACGCGATGCCTGAAACACCGTGTGCAGTTTTAACGCAACACGCCAAGCTCGACAAAAGCAATCTCCTGCACTCCACAGTGCAAGGGCACTAACAAGTGCTGAGCAAACCTAAAGCAGTTGCCTTACAAGGTGCGCTGCTGATCAAGTAGCACTAACCTCCCGCTCTCACACCCTCTAGTGGCACAAGTTCCGCTCCGGTGGCGATGAATCGGCGCTCGAATCGCATCCCCTGCTTTCTCCGCACGGCACATGGCGAATGGTCAGGGAGTAGCGCTCCTGGCCATGAGAAGGAGGGAATCGATCGCTGGCTTTGCGGCGTTTGGATGCACAAGCTTTCATGGCCATGTCAGCTGGAACCAGCTAGCGGCTGAAGACTGAGACTACCTCACGGCCCATACTCTACGGCCTGAGCGGCGAACTTCCGCGTCTTGGAGAGAGGGATACCACCCTTGGGGTTTTTGTAGTGAACACTTGGCTGACTACCACAAAGTCATTGAAACCAATGTTTGCCACCATTACTATTTTATCCAGTCCCTCTGCAGAAGGCAATTCAAGCTTCTATCTGAAGCATATGTGCTCTGGCGAAAACCCCGTACGTGGGCCGTCATCATGGCCCTTACTATGAATCCGACGCTGGTTGCCTGACCCGTCAATAAGGGTGTAGACTTAGGCCATTCCTGGTAAGCCCAAGACAGCAAGTCCTTCGACCGCTGCACATGTGCTGAATGGTTTAGAGGAGACGACAATCCACCCAAAATGCCCGCGGCTGACATCGGCACATGTCCAGCTTCAGAATGGGCATCTGCATTGCGCAGTAACATGGCCAAAACAGAACTTAAGCTAGCCAGGTGATAGAAAGAGAAAATAGAGGATTTGGAGCGATGCCCCAAAACATGAAAACAAACCCTTGTGGCTTCCTTTGCTATTGAGTGCTTTAGGCAAGAACAACCTGACTTGGCCCGCCGAAATTCACGTGGGAAAATTGTGTAGTCCTGTAGGATGCTGTGGCAGAATCAACCTCGCCAAAGTGTTAATTTTGTGATATGTGTGCGATGTTCACAATAGTTCGAAGCTTGTGAAAGGTTGCTGTCAACTGATCTTCTGCAAGAAAGATCTGACATTGGCTCTGCGTCTATCAGGCAGCCACTGTCCAAAGCCGTAACCCATGCGCTTGCCTGTCGCTCGAGACACCTCAGCTGCAGCCACAGAGACAAAGAGAGAGAGAGAGAGATAAAGAAAGAAGAAAAAAAAGAAAGAAAGAAAGAAAGAAAGAAAGAAAGAAATAAAGAAAGAAATAAAGAAAGAAAGGAAAAAGGAAAGAAGGAAGGAAGGAAGCAAGGAAAGAAGGAAGAAAAGAAGAAAGAAAGCAAGACAGACAGACAGACAAACAGAGAGAAAGCCGGACAAACAAACAAAAAAAGAGACAGAAGTACAGAAAGAAAGCAAGAAAGAACACAGAAAGGAAAGAAATAGAGAAAGAAAGAAAGTAGCAAGCAAGACAGACAGACAGACGGACGGAAAGAAAGAAAGAAAGCAAGAAAGCAAGCAAGACAGACAGACAAACGGACAGACAAACAGAAAAAAAGACAGAAAGAAAGCAAGAAAGAAAGAAGACAAAAAAAGAAAGAACAAAAGCAAAAAAAATACAAACGGAAACAAGCAAGCAGGAAAGAAAAAAAGAAAGACAGACAGACAGACAAAAAACAGAAAGACGGAAAGACGGAAAGAACGAAAGAAAGAAAGAGAGAAACAAAGAAAGAAAGAAAGAAAGAAAGAAAGAAAGGAAAGCAAGGAAAGAAATAAAGAAAGGAATCAAAGGAAAGAAATAAGAAAACAAAAGAAAGGGACAGAAAGAAAGAAAGAAACAGATAGACAGACAGAAAGAAAGAAAAAGGAAAGAGAAAGCAAGACAGACAGACAGACAGACAGACAGACAGGCAGGCAGACAGAAAGACAGACAGACAGACAGACAGACAGACAGACAGAAAGACAGACAGACAGACAGACAGACAGACAGAAAGCAAGCAAGCAAGCAAGCAAGCAAGCAAGCAAGCAAGCAAGCAAGCAAGCAAGCAAGCAAGCAAGCAAGCAAGCAAGCAAGCAAGCAAGCAAGCAAGCAAGCAAGCAAGCAAGCAAGCAAGCAAGCAAGCAAGCAAGCAAGCAAGCAAGCAAGCAAGCAAGCAAGCAAGCAAGCAAGCAAGCAAGCAAGCAAGCAAGCAAGCAAGCAAGCAAGCAAGCAAGCAAGCAAGCAAGCAAGACAAACAAACAGAAGAAAAAAAAAAGTAACGGAAGAAGCAACAAGGAAATAAAACGGAAAGAGAGAGCTCCGTGTCGTGCTCATCTTGATTTCATGCTCATCGGCTAGAATCATGATCTGATTGCGCATCAAGCTGCGCTTGATCTTGCCTTCGACCTGTTTGGAGCTTATTGGGCAAACACCATCACCAAGTCTGCGGGCCCTTGAATGTTTCTTGCCTGACACAACTCAAACCCTGTGACCTCGCAGTCAAGGAGCCCATCTTTGAGCTGCTCGTGCCAGCTGGCGGGTACCTGCCCATGGAAGATCAAGCTCGAGCCTGATAAAAGCACGCCGAAGCCGAGAGCTACACCTACACAACATCAATCGCTCTCTAGAGTCAGTTGGCTCAAGACCCTCAAACAATGAAATGCACGAGTGCAGGGAGTGATGCACCTGGATCCTTTCCCATTACACCCCGCAACAAGCCCATCACGCCACATTTCAAACACAAAAAGCTCACATTGGCCGCGGGCGTCCCGGAGCCCCGGTGCCACGCCTCCGGCTGGGGCGGGTTGGCCACCTCCTGGCGCAACGGATCGCCTGCTTTAGCCAAGCTGCTCTCGCAAGCATCACTTGAACTGCGCAACAGGGGCTTAGCTGCACACTGTTCAAAGACGAAGACGGAGCTGTGTTCGGGTTGTAGCGTGGAGGTTGTATTGAAGATGAAAAGCCATGCAACTTGAAGCCTTTTCAGTCGCTGACGCAGAGCACGTATGGGCATGGCATGCAAATGGAGCATCCAGGCTTAGAGGCAGAAGCGCTTTGCAGCGGAGCAAGCATTGACATCTGGGATGGCAAAGGGTAAACATTGAACCTGCTTCTGCTGAACAGGTAGGGGAGTGGTTGAATGTTCTTTTGCCAAAGCTGACAAAGGAAGCCAGGCCCAGCAGAAATAAGCTGCTAACACATGTTACAACAAGCGACACGAAGACATGAACAACTCTGCAATGGCAAGAGTTTGGAGCAAAAAGAGTGCCAGTCTGATATCGAGATCAAGGCAGGTGTACAGGTACGGCCAATATATGGGAACGTAAAGACTTGCTGTTGGAGAGCCAGGCCGGTGGAAGTGTGTCTGTCATGCCGCTTTTGTCTGGCTTTGTGGAACAAAAGAGCCCTCACCACTGACAAAGCATTGCTCACGGGGCGCGCGTTCTTTTAAGGGTCGCCCGCGTTGTTTCAATAGCTGGAGTAGTTTGGATGCGGAATGACCAGCTCTTCTTTGCTCTGAAACCTGGAACCTGGAACTTAGAAGTCACCCACGCAAGTTCACTGGCTGAAAGGGAAAGGAAGAAAAAAACGAAAGCAACGTTCGACGTGGAGCACCTCGGGTGCCCAATCAAAGGCGATGGCAGCCTCCAACACAGACCTCACATGGTGTTCGAGTTGGGTTCCCGAGTGGGGAAGTTTAGGTTTCCCTTGGAGCCCCCAAGGCCCTCAAGTCCATATCCTTAGCTTATTTCCAGCGATGTTGGGCAACGGATGGCTCCAGGTGCCGACCAAGCAGCTGATACACACCCAGGTAAATCTGCCAAAAGCCACGGCACTATCGGCCATTTAATTGAAATGTACAAGACAAAAGGGTTGAAAACAGAGAATCCCTAAAAATCACGACTGAAGAACCATCAAAAGGAAAACCCGTGGGACAGCCCCAGAAGACTCCGACTCCGTTGCTCCTGCAGGCGGTCGAAGCGGCGCTCCGCCAGACCGTGCAAATGGCAGCTGTAGGCCTTGCGGGTTTCTATTTGTAGCTGGGATGTTTCTCATGACCGACTACCCCTCCGACTGCCGAAAGGATGGTGTGTCCCCTGTGATTGTCTGTCGTTCAAATAGCCGTGTGGCTTCCACGCCGTGCATAGCCGGCCCAACCAACCCTGAGACCTTGTGAAGACTCTAGTAGTCCAATGAAGCCTAGAACATGAATGACCAGCCGCGGAGGCTGCTCACCAACAGAACACTGCGGAAGGCCCTTTGTATCCAAGTGTCCTACCATGAAGAATTCCCAAACAGACTCTTGCGGAATTGCAAGCTCTTTGCTTGAACCCATCATCGAGTCCTGCGGATTCCTGCATTTGAGTTAGGGAGCCGTAATTGATGGTAATTACCTTCAACCATCAACAGCTTCGGAAAGAAATTGTTGGTTTCAATGAAATTTTAAGCGAGTTGTTTCCGGCCACGTTGGAAAAGCAATGTTGACAAAGACACTTTGACTTCTAAGTCGACACCGCTCACGCCTCCTCCGAGAAAACGAGTAAGCTGCGCCTCAGGAGAGGCCACGACGAAAAGCGACTTTATTGGTTATCAGTCATCTGACCCTTGCTTTTCCGAGGTAGCCAAATTCGCCCGCATGCAGCCAGGGACAGGCTTGAGAGGCGGGTGAACGAAGCTAGCTGCCTCTTGGCACGCTTTCGGCTAACCTGAAGCGCGCCTCAAGTGAATCATAAACCCCAGTCGACGCCCAGAAAGTCACTATGACCCCAGAACCCGAAGAAGGTCCCAATGAAAAGCCCTAGGCACAAAGGTGCAGATGAGTATCAGTATACCAAAGATCTTTTTGGACAGGGAGGACCAGGAAAGAACAGAGCGTAGCTTTTCTGTCTTTTGTTGTTGTTTCTTTGTTTCTTTTTTTGGGGGGGATGGTGGTCAAGGATTGGTCTTCGGAATCAATCCGAATCAGTACCCCCCACCCAAACATATATATATATATATATATGTATATATATGTATATACGTGTATATATATATATATATATATATGTGTATATATATATATATATATATACGTATGGTCACCTTTAATATAAATTGTATGTATATCTATCTATATGTATATATTCCCCAATGATATATATATATATATATATACACAGATATATATCAATCCCTGAAGACGGCCCAGCCCTCTTAAATCCTAAAGAGAGCTCACAGGAAAAAGGAGGGGCACTCTGCTCAACGAAGAATGTTGAGACGAGTGCGGCCTGAAGGGGGTCAGAAGCGGGAACGGCCAGTGGCGGAAAGCGAACGCACCGCCCAGCTCCCGACATCTTGGTTCTGTTCATTGGAGCCACACAACTAGCCTCGATAGCTCTTTGCTCCTTAGACATCTTTAGCATCCCAACCGTAGTCTTCAAAGTACGTCCATGGGATCGTTGATCCAAAAATCAAATTTGAAGATCTTTCCGCCGGCTTGCATCTAGACTGTCTAGGCTCGGCTAGCCAACGACAATCCCAGTCTCGACTGAACCACCGGGTGCAATTGGCTAGCCCTAGCTGACCTCCCTCAAAGAATTGTCACCACAAGCCAGCACTTTGTGGCACAAGCAGTCGGCTCTTTGTGCGACTGAACCGAATTGAGCTTCTCGTTTCCCCCATCCAAGAGAGCCCGGCCATCGCCCGGACATTGGCCGACAGTTTCCTCTGCTCGGCCCCCCGCGGCGGTAGCAGCAGTGACAACGCCGGCGCCTCGCCGCCTTGGGGGACTGGGCACAGGGTCCTATCTGTCGGACACGAGCAACGCGCAACACTTGTCACCGATGTAAAGGGAGGGCAGTCACGGCAACTGGAATACAAATGAGGTCAACTCTTTCCAAATTCCCATGTCAAAATGGGCATGATGAATATTGACTGTGGTTCGTGTTCGTCACGTTGACGACCCTCCCTGCTCCGCCCTCACCCATCCCCTTGGCATCCCAGCTTGCTGCATGGGCGTGGTCACGCCAAAAGTCAAAGACCTACGAAGTGTCGCGACTCCCGAAGCTAGGGCCCATACACTCCCAAGAGGCGACTAAACAAGGGGTTGTGTCTGTCAAGGCAAAGGACCGCTGTTGGGGATGGGCACGAGGAAAGCAGCCTGAAACCAAACATGCAAAAGGGAGTCCTTTTTTGGCTCACAAACACTCTGTTGCTCACCAAACTGTTATCTGCAAAAGTACATGTTTAAGCTTGCGTGGTTCCGAGAGAAAGCTTGCCACGTGATCCTCAAGCGCACCACTAGACAAGTCTTGGGCGGCCCAAGCGTTGCCCCCTTCCGCCCGCACCGCTGCACTGCCCAACGAGAGGATGGCAGCCCAGGGCATGTAGGCCGGGCCGTCCGTGTGGGGTAGGATGCCTGGAGCACTGGAGCTGGAACTCTCCCCCGACTTGGGAGTCTGACGGGTTTGTCAGATTATGCAGCCAAGTGAAGACCTGGATTTGCGGGGAACTCTGGTGTCAGTGGTGGATGGAACAATCAAAGCTCCAGGCACGGATGGGTCTGAAGCATCTCGTGGATTCTTGTGTGAAGCCGGGAGCCTCGGAAATTCGC